TCCTCTGCATCCTCCCTTATCGCCTCTCCCTCGACCTCCTCCTCCTCCTCCTGCTCCTTTGCTTCCTCCCCCCTCGTCTCTCCCGCTTCCTTCTCTCGTCCCCCCCTCCCAGCCTCCTCCTTGCCTTCCTCCTTCTCCTCCTCCTCCCTTCCCTCCTCCTCCTCCTCCACCTCCTCCTCCTCCTCCTCCTCCTCCTCCCCTGCTTCCTCCTCTCCTTCCTCCCCTCTCGCCTCTCCCTCCTCCTCCTCCTTCTCCTCCTCCTCCTCCTCCTCCTCCTCTGCTTCCTCCTCTCCTTCCTCCCCCCTCGCCTCCTCCTCCTCTTCCCCTCCCTCTCCCGCTTTCTCATCTCCTGACATCCCTCTCTCCGCCTCCTTTTTTCCTTCTCCCGTCTCCCCGTGTCGGCCTCTTTCGGCCTTTTCGACCACCCCCTCCTTCTCCTCCTCCACCTTCACCTCCTCCCCTATCCTCTCCCCCTCCTTCTTCCCGCCCTCCGAAGCGCTCGCCTGGGCCGCCTGCCGTTTCCCTGCACCCACCAGCCGGTCCTTCCATACGACCAGGGCTCGCAACCGAGAATTTTCCATGATCAAACGGATCCGGCAAGCCTCCGCCGCTTCCTCCCGCCGGGCGACTTCCTCCACGATGCTGACAAGCTCCGTGAGCATGGCCTGCGAAAAGACCGAAAAACCCCGAGAAAAGGGGGGGGGGGAGGGAAAAGGAGGCAGGGTCAACAGGGTAGGAGGAAGCAAACTTTCACTAGCTCCCCCCCCTTTTTTCTTCCTTCGGCATGTGCATACTCTGCAGACATGAGGGCATGAACAATAGCACGGCAATATCGCTATCTGCGTCCCGACAGCGTGATCGAGGGCGATGGAGCCCTCCCTCCTCAGTCCCCTCCCTCCTCATCACGCCCAGCCATTGTCTTCCTCTTCCCAGCAGCACCGGCCTCCGAACTTCCCTCCTTCCCCTCCCTCGTCGATCGTCGGCTCCGTGCGCCCCCTTTTCTCCCTCCCTCCATGCTCATCATCTTTATACAAGCCTCCTTCCCCTACCTCTTGCTCCAAAATCGTCCGCTGGAGGAACTTTCGATCCGCCTGACTCAATGTTTCCTTCACCTGTGGACGGTGGAAAAGCTTATATAATGAGTGCTTTGCCGCGAAATGCAATACCACGCACATCCATGCATCGGGAAAAGACGCCTGTGCGTCAGTCCCTGCTACCTTCTTCACGAGGTAACGGCTCGGTAACGGCTCGTCCCGAGACCGCTCGAGATTTGAACGCCAGCACTGAGCCATTTCCCATCCGATCCGATCCTCTCGACCCATCCTTTCCCCTGAAAACAGCACCGTACGAACCTGCAATTGCTCCAGGCGCCCGCACAGGTCTCCCCATTGCCCCGAGACGTCCGCGTCGTCCCCCTCCACCTCCCTTCCCTGCTCATCATTCCTTGTGCGGTTCCCTTGGTCGTTGGTGGCTGGCAAGGTCTCGTCCTCGCCCGTGTCGAGGGGCAAAACGGGTGCTTCCGCCTGCGGCGACACCGCTTCGGGCGCGGGGCAGGTGGCCTGCCGGCCTTCGGGGCCGCTCAATGCCCACACGTCCGCACGGAGCTGTCGCAGCGCCACGACCAACTCCGAGCTCGTTGCGGAGGTGTCCGCCCCGTGTGCTCCCTCCCCGCCCTCCTCCTCGCCCATGGCAGCCTCCAGCACCTTCTCGATGATGCTCACGACACGGTGCA